AGGGATAGGACATCAGGGTCGAAGATAAAAGGACATGTAGATGCAGCTGAGATGAACAAGAAACCTTCCTTCCTCATCTGAGGATTCTCATTTGAGAAAGGAAGTACGAGTTGCAACATTGCTCCTACCAACCCTTTGCACATAGCTCCTACATCAACTTAGACGGCGCAAGAATCGTAATGAAAGGTATTGACATTTCATGAGCCCAACCATTTCATGATAATCATGCTCAATTGAACTTCTCATATATCTTCCTGGATTCATGGCTCCTCTTGGGGCCTCAGGTCTTTGTGGTCAAACTGCTAGAACAGCATGAACAAGACGAGAAGCTCGACAAGTACTGCTTTTTGACATTTGTATTATTCCCAAACAACTTGGCAACTTTTATCCCGTCTAATTAAGTACGCTTTGCGTTTCATTTCATAGGACATCATATGTTGGAACTCAAATTACAAGTCGTGAGTAATAAAAAGGAATACTAAATGATTGTTGTAAATCAAAAGCAAGATCGTGTTGCGTTCTACCGTCGGCGTCAGCTTTTCCATCTGAGCGCCACTAGCTGTGCAGATAACAAACTTCACCATCCATGGAGCTTTTTGAAAGCCTGATTTTTAATCTTATTGACCTTCTCTTGATTTTTCGCTCATTCTCGAAGCGTCTTGCTAGTCCAAGCTTGAAATTGTCACCCGACGAAGCGGTGAAGATAACATGCGCATTTCCTGGATAATATGTGATCATTTTCGAAAGATCAAGCTGTTTCATCTTAATGAAGACACTTATGAACTCTTCTATTTCAACTTACTGGTTTGTATTTGTGAAAAAAGAGGTGTGAAAATACTTGACCAATGGCCATTCGACGCAGTACATTGCTGATCAGAGTGTTTGCTGAACTACCAAGCTTGAAAATGAGACAAAGTATTTGCTCTTGTAGCTGAAGTCTCTTCATTTGGCCCTGCGATCCAGTCGATATGAAGCTAGGCCTAGTGCTGCTTTATCTAAAGAGAATGGAAGCACGTTAACATGCGGAATATGGGCTGGTTCTGCTTACGATCTTGTAAGACGGAGCCTAGGTACTTCGGCAAGGTTAATGATTTCTAAGATATAAAGAATGATACCGCTTGATTTTCCTGCGCTGGAGTGACTACTGTATGCTCAATTGCTCTTATTGAAGACAACGACGACAATAGCAGTGAAGACGCTGATAACGACATAGAGGTAGAGAAAACGACGACAGCAATGGCAGCGACGACGATGAAGACGACGGTAAAACATAGTATGCTACCACAGGGAAAGTAGTCACTCTAGCACAGGAAAAATAGGCGGCTTGAAAGAATATGAGTACATGTAGTAAATTAAGACGCGGAAGGGGTTACTGAGTGTTTGTGAGGCGATCCGTCGACAGGATCTAGCTGGTCAACAGGGTAAATCTGAGATATCAGAGTTGTTGAAACGTACCTAGTCTCTGAAGTATCCCGTGCCCCGAATTTTCAACCTGAATGATGAAAGTTGTCTGAAAAAGCAATCAAGTGAGCGCACCGTCGCATCAAGCATTTGAGAAAAGAGACCGGAGTAAATGCAGATTGTATCTGACGCAGACTGCGATTGATCATGATGATAACTACTGAAGATTCGGGTGAGAGGTCTGCCCTGGGCCGCCCCTTCCTTTCACCCCTCCTTCCCAATGGCTCTTTCCACCTCACCTCACCTTCACCTTTCACCCACATTCCAAACCCTTCCATCCCGTCTTTGATAAAGGAGCTTTTCCTGCCTGCTGTCATCCGACGGTCGAGAGACACCCCCTACCCCCTCTTCCGTCCCGCTTAGTCCAGCGGTCCGATTAAAGAATGGTAGAAAACCTCAAGAGACGTCTTGGTTGGATTTTCATGGGTTCTTGAACTGACGAGTTCAAGAACCGAACTTTTGACTTTTTCTTCTTCTTCTGTTTAGAACATTGAATCTGTAATGCCGACTGAAATCTGAATAAGGTCTGTCCTGCGTACCTAAGCTCATGGATCAAATCGTGGGATGCCCAAGGCTCGGTATTGAGCTGCAGAAGGGTGTCTCTGATGTTGGTGCAGGGGACCTGGTAACTTCCCCACGAAAGCTCCTGCAGCTCACCGACCCTTCACCGAAATTAATGTTAGTGAAGCACTACTATCACTGAAGTTCCATAGCTGTTTCCCTCGACTTTAATCATATCATTTTCTTCAGAAACGTCTCAATTGGCAATAAATTGCTACCAAAGCTTGTATGATTCTTTGTGATAACAGCAAAGAACTCTTTCAAATCGTCGTCGCGACATTGTGGAACTACAGCAAGGTCCTCAACTATCGCGCTTCCAGAGCTAGCCCGAACCCTGTTCCCAGCTCAGAACCACACCCACGCCAACCCGTCAACGCCATCCAACCTTCTTCCCTCATCCACCACGATCGGCATCGCAACCGCAAACATGGCCACCGCACCCCAACAAACACCCTCTCAGCCGCCCGCGCCGCCCGCAGAAAACGAGCCTGTCTACGGCGGCCACACGCGGTTCGAGATCGAGCTCGAGGTATGTCGTCCCCTCTCTTCGCGCCCGCCCTCATCGTCGCGAACAGCACTAACCGTCGCACCAACAGTTCGTCCAATCCCTCGCGAACCCTTACTACCTCAACCACCTCGCCACCCAGAAGCTGCTCACCCGCCCCGAGTTCGTCGCGTACCTCGCCTACCTGCAATACTGGACCCGTCCGCCTTACCTCAAGTACATCATGTACCCCGGCCCTACGCTCAAGCACCTCGAGTTGCTGCAGCAGGAGCAGTTCCGACAGGATATCATTAGTCCCGATCTCGTGTTGAGGCTGATTGAAGACGGCATGAAGGCGCCGGTGGAGTGGCACCGCAGCGAGGCTTGAGGCGTAGGACGAACGATGACAGAATTGACGCGGATTCGGGCTGTTGAATCTCACGACGGCGTTCTGGGGACGCAAAGCGTACCCTTACATGTCTTGGGCCGCGGCGGGAACCAGGCGCATTTGATCTCAGCATTATGGGTAAATGGATGCGAGCCAGAGCTGGGGTCAAAACTACAGAGCCCTATGGCGCCGCGGCCGCATGTTGTGGCCTGCGTAGGGCGATCACTGTCGCCGATTCTGGAAGAGCGCGAGAAGCATGCACATCAATGCCAATACAGACGTAGCGCACAGAGGTCAGACAGGTATATGGGAAATGGCGTCAAGTAGGCTGGCGACGGCCGGGCCTCCAACAGGGTCTTATTAAACCGGTTTTAGAGAGCAAGGCAGAAGACCCCTCGATACCCTCTCCCAGGCGCATCAATCGCGCCTCTAATAAAGCAAATGAATATTCCCCAACGCCACGCAATGCGAAGTAGTGTAGACCAACGACAACATCCTTTTCAGTTCTCTCTCCATCTCGTTCCGCAAGTCATGCACTGTACTATGTTAGCATCCTTTAGCCCTACACGACACCAACAGCGACGTACCTTGAAGAATGTAGTCATAGGCTCATCAGCAGACCGAATCTGGACCTGGAAGAAAGCCGCCTCCTCGCCGTTGCATCCATCCTTGGGGCACTGTGCGCGCGCCTTGTCGGCGTTGTCCCACTCGCCGGGACCGCCAAAGACGTCCTCGCGCTCCTTGCGCTCGAATTCGCGGCGCGAATAGATTGGCTCGGTGATGGCGTGCTCGAAGGGGCAGGTGCGGCACTCGAGGCGGTTGCGGACGCCGGCGTAGGCGGAGACGGTCAGGATGTTTGCGCAGTTGGGGCAGACTGGCGAGGCATAACGTTAGTCGGTGTCGTCGCGTAAAGGAGACGGGGGACTTACAGAGCAACATGTTGGCGGCTGGAGCTTTTCAGCGTGTCAGGTGGGAGGTGTGGATAATGCGGCGGCTGTAGTACTGCTGCTATTGAGGGGAGTGCGAATGCGCAGCAAGCATGTCTCGGTGACTGTGGTGATCGTAGAAAATTCAGCGGGTCGAGATGCGACGGTGGGGGACGACGAAGTCACACCTCGGTCAAGACTCACCACCGAGAAAAGCTTGGCATCCATCACTCACCTTGGGACCTGGACTGGACGGGACTCATCCCGCCGGATCCCGCCCAAATAAATCTCCGTGCCCCTCTATCCTTTCCATCGCTCCCCCGCCTTACCCGTCCCCTCGACAATTAGCGCCTACCGGCGGGGCACTCCAACCACTGTGAGCTGTTACAGCGATCCTTTGTCCTCTGTAAGCCGCCGGCGGTTACGTACCACACCCGCTAAAAGAAGACAGCCTCCAGGGGTCGGTAGATCTCACTGCCACCTCCTGGGCCCGGGTCTTCCCAGCCAAACACCTCTCGTCTCCCCCAATTACGTCCCCTTGACCCAGATCTAGGCCAACCACCACTGCCGAACACCTGTACCTTTGACGGGATATACATCTGCCTGGTCCAACTGTCTCTGTCTCGCCTTGTGTGCGCGCGAAATCTGCATCCTTTCGTTGGGCACATTTGCATTTCGCGATTTTCTTCCCATTGCGACGGGCAAATTACGTAGCGCAGCCAGGCCTACCTTACCTTACACGAACGAACGAACGAACGAACGCAACGCAGGAGCCCCTCCTCCTCCGACTTCACCGACAAACGAACGCAACTTTTACCCCACCAACCGAACCTACCTTTACCTTACCTGCGCCCATCCCACTCCAGTACGGTGCCATTTCGAAACACATCTCTCCCCCGGAATCTCAACGACGTCAATACCTTCGCGAGGGCCTACTGATCATGGCGGGTGACAACGAGGAACACGAGGTAAGTCGCTCATGTCGCCAATCTGCCTGTTGCCCAAAATCCAAGGAGGGGTAGACTGACACCAAACCCAACGCAGGGCGCCTCCGTCAAGGAGATCCTCATCGAGGCCTGCCGCCGCAACAACACCGACCTCTTCAACGAAGTCGTCGCCGACATCAAGGACGAGGACGAGCTCTCCCGCATCCTCAACGAGACAACCACCGTCATGGGAAACCACCTCTACCACGAAGCTGCCTCGCGGGGTAACTGTACGCTGAACCCATCCCACCACCACTCCTCTCTTCCAAACCCATACATACCCTTTCCTCCACATTCACACTCCTGTACCATCCCGCTAACACATCCGTCCTCCCGCAGATGAGATCATCGACCTCCTCCTCGACCAACCCAACTTCGAATGCGACCCCGTCAACCGCCTCGAGGGCGACACGCCCCTGCACACCGCCATCCGCTGGATCAACTCGGAACCCCCCGCCCAGCGCGAGTTCGGCAACGCCCTCGTCGACATGATGCTCGAGGCCGGCTCCAACCCGCGCGTCAAGAACAAGGGCGGCCTCACCGCCCTCCAGCTCGTCGACCCCCGCAACACCGCCCTCCGCGACCTCATCCAGAAGCACGAGTACGCCTCCCTCAACGCCGGCGACTTCATCAACGTCGACTCCTCCGCTGCGGCCCCCAAGGGCAAGGCGCCCCCCGTCCCCAACCACGTGGCACCGCCCGTGCAGGACGACGAGAGCGACGATGACGCCGAGTTCAGTGGGAGCGACGACGAGGAGAGGGCCGAGTGGGAGCGCAGGCGGAAGGAGAGAGCTGCCAGGAGGGGCTGATGACGGCTGCTACGGCTACGATGGTTTGAGTGGATTGTCAGTTTTATTGCATTCGAGAGGACGAAGGGAAGACTTCCGGCATATCTTGCATTTGGAGAGGACGCGCTATCCCTCCGTCCGGGCGGGTATTCGGGGAGAAGAGAGAGAGAGAGAGAGAACGCAAAGCCGTGAGATACAGGACGGGAAGTACAAACAAAACCAGATTCACGGGAGAAGTCAATTTCTTGGTACAAGTTGCGTAACGGGGTGATTGGGGGGGAGAAACACATGTTAGACTAAGGTATCGTCGCCGTCTCATCAACCCTCGAGGGAAGTCTTTTCGCAAAACAAAAAAATATCATAAAGACATTTCATATGGTCCTTTGCTTGGGAGTGATGGCAAGGAGTCTGAGATGGCAAGGAGTTCAAAGGCCATCATCATTGTGAGAAGTTTCCACTGGTGGCCTGCCTGTACCTGTACCGGCCTAGACGGGAAGGTTGAGAAGGAGGGGAGTATGAGACTACGATTTGTACATGAACTATCAATGCATCGATCACTTTACTTGGAGATCATCTTTATTGGGTGTAAAACAAATGAGACCGCCTATTTTTCCTGTGCCTGCGCGGCTATATTTCCTATGTACTTCATTACTCTTATCCGAGACGATAGTAGTAGCGACGAAGATAACGACGAAGATAACGACGACGACGACGACGACGACGACGATAATAGAAGCGATAATAACTATTAAAGCGACGACGAATATTAAAGTACGACGATAAAGTAGAATAGCTACAGGAAAAGTAGTCGACATAGCACAGGAAAAATAGGCGGTCTCAAAAAAAATACTAGTTTCTGAGCGCCGTCAACGCAAGACGCAGAGAATAGTTCTGGATGTATGCAGCTGGATCGGAGCCGCCGCTCCAGTGCCACTGCGTCGGATACCGGACCCGAAAGCCAAAATCGACGTACCTGAGACTAAGTCTTCACCGGAAGACGCAACTACTTTCTCAAAGTTACAATCAGAAAGGTCAAATACCAATATCAAGGAAACAAACCAAAACATTCACAAGGCACCCAAAGCTGAGTATACACTTGATCTATTGTTTGATACAGGGTATGGAAGTTCTAGGTACGTGAAGGAAAGAAATGTTCGCTGTTGTCATTGTCGACTCACACCCTCGAGTCCTATCTTTATCGTCTACTTCGTACTTCTCGTTCCACGGCTCGTGTTATCGTTCTAGGGTATCCCAATGCTTGAATCCAAAAGCAAAACATGACTCATTGCGCGGGTCCTGCCCGTCATGTTCGAAACGAAGAGAAAGGCCGCCAAATCGCTCAGATAGCCATCAGCAGAGCGGTTACAGCCGCTGCACAGACGGCCCATGCCGACTTGGACGCCACACCCGGAGCGGCATTCTTCTCACTCTGCGACTCTATGTAGGAGAGGTTCTTAACCAGATCCAAGTTCTTCTGGCTCAAGTATCCGGCGCTCGCAAGCTCGAAAAGTTGGGGTCCCATGGTGCGAAGGATGTTGGTACTCCTCCCCGCCGGACAAAAGACGACCTCCCAGCCGCCGCCGGATGGGATAATGAAAGTCGATGTTTGGTCATCAAAGGCGAAACTGTAAGCGTCCGGACAAATCGATTTGGCATGCTTCGAGTACAACCCCGGCTTGCACTTGTTGGGGTCGTGCCACGATCCTATGCAACAGTCCTCATCTGAGTTGGTGGCGGCACATTGACTCTTGCACGGGCTAAAGTCGGGACGCATGATGTTGTCATCGGGGTAAGGATAGACACCATCACCAGGCTTCTCCGGTGGCATGGAAAGAAGGGGCCAAGGACACCAATCTCGAGCGCTGTTATTCGTCTCGGTCGGTTCCCACGGGACGGGGTAGGTGGAGTTGGTATAAACAGTACCACTCGCTGCGGTATTTGACAAAAGACCGGCCGTGGCGATGCAGGCACAATTGGTCAGATTTGGCGGAATGTACGAGGTGTTGTCGGCGGGGATGTAATTGATGCCCACGGGGATGTTGTAGCCGTCGACGAGGGAGATGTCGTAAAAGGTCTGTCTCCCAGAAACGCCGCCAGCCAAGTTGAACTCGGCTAGTGTTGCAGGAACGGCGCCCTGTCCTCATTAGTATCTCACAGTACCGCGCGAACCATGGTAACTTACACTGAACTCGCAGTTAAGCTTTCCGAAGCAATCGCCCGTTGTGCAACCAGCCGACTCCCCATTGACAGTGCAATTGGTTCTTCCCCACGCTCGGCCTTGCCATGTTGGACCGACCCACAGGTCCCGGCTTTCACCCGCGCCAAGTTCGAAACCCCCGGTGCCGGGGCCGACGCCGTGCTGCGTCGTGATGCCAGGCCAGATCGGTTCTGAACATGTGTTTGTGATCTTCAAGGGTATCCTCCCGTTCCAATCCTCAGGTGGGCCTCGCCTGGCGGGGTTGTAACGCTTGTTCAGTGACAAGTAGTCGGTCTTGTAATTCGGATGTGTGCTTGGGAAGACGATGGCATTGGCGGTTGGGAGCTGCGACGCGAGGGCCAGCGCAACGAAGACGTTCCTGCTGGATGCCGTTGAGCGCCTGTCGCCTTTCCTCGACGGCGCCTGTCTCATTGTCTGCGTATCGGTCGTCTGCGGTCGAATACCCAGATAGTTCAAACAAAGAAGAATGATTGCAAGAATCAACAGCGATATCGATTCGTGACTTGCAAGAGTAAAGGTGTGGTCTATGCTGGAATGGTGCAACAGTTCATGGTTCAGAGGCCCCAAGCTTCCATGGTCCGGCGAGACGACGATCGGGCAAGGATATACGGGCGGCTTCTGCGAGGTGGTGATTTGGTGCCGCCAATAGCTCGCAACGGACCTGCGCCGAGTGACGTACAGCGTGTCGTCGAAAGAACGAATGGAAGCAAGGGGCGGCAAGGCCCCAAGAGGTGATCGGCCTGCTTGATCCAGGGCCAATACCTGATTATCCCTGTCGACGCGATATAGCGTCAGAGGGTGCCAGGTGGGAGCTGCAGGTTGGTTGGACGGGTGAATCAGGAACTGGGTCGTAGGGCAGAAGGTAAAAAGACTGTTTCAGGCGCTTAAAGAGGGTATTCGTGGAGCTAGCGATGCAGAGAGGCGGATAGGGTGTTTACAGGTTCGCACGCCTGTTGTTGAAGATGGAAATGGTTCTGTATGCCGTTCTCACGTTCTCGACACACGCGATGGAAAGGGGGGCACTAGAGAGCCGCTGCCTCCAACAGCAGCCGATGGGGAGCACCAACCCATCCCATCGTCGCCTGCCCGCCGGCGCTTGTCGACGTTGCAGTTGCAGGGCCGGACCTTGGGTCGAACCTCTCAGCGGTTCATGTTCAGACGATGACGCAGGTGCAACTGGCTGCCCAGTTTCCCGTTGGAACTGCAGGGTCCATTTCGGGTAGCCAACGACCGGGGCCTTCCCTGCTTGGCTTGTTGCCCCGCGCCGTTCTGGCCTCAGCTCCACCTGCAAGCTGATGTGGCTGTGCCCAGAATTGTTAGAAGCGGTCAGCACGACAAGTACTGCTTTGCCGCCGGACTGTGGGACTGTACCTTCCCATGAGCTGTCCTCTATCTCCCACACAGCCTCAGTATCGTTGCTCTTTTGCCGTCATCATATCACTTTAGATGCCATTGAGAATGTCAAGGGCCAACATGGGGAACGTTGACTCACCACGTGGTGGCAGAGTGAAGCCCACAGAGTCGTGCCGGGCATCGTAGCTTGTTTCTTGGCCAAGATCTGGCGTTGACTTCAACCCTGCATCGACCCGGCGATATCTTCAGGCTCACAGACAGGAAAATAACCTTGCACGTTCCAGATGGGCAGCTGTTGCAACCTTCTTGGTCTTCAATAAACTTGATTTGTCCCATGCTGGGAATGTCGTGCGTCTACAGTGGACTACAGGCCATCATCTTTCAGTGTCGTAATAAAAGCCTCCCAGAGTCCAGTCCTCATCTCCAGTAGTCAGTCCTGGGAGGTCTCTTCGTAAGATATATACTCTTGGCCATTATTAGCCTCGGCTGCCCTTCCTGCTCCTTCACCTTTTCGAGGTATCATCCGAGTGTATGGAAACGAAATGCCCAACGCAAGCCGGCAAACAGATTATCATTCTTCTCCCCCAAATTCCGCCATTTTTACCTGAAGCGCGCTCTGCAGCGGCCCATGACCTCGCCTTGGCAGACCAGCTCTGCGCTGAACTCGGATCCGTCAAGAGTCAGGTAAATGTCAAAGTAGACACGGTAGAATGTGCCTTGTGGTGTGTCCATCCTCTCGAAGTCCTTCTCGAGGTTCTTGCGCGAAAGATCAGAGGTCAGAGTGACGACTTCCTTGATACCTATCATGGGGTTAGCGAGTGCTGGGTCGGATTGTGAAGGGAATACACTTACGAGGATCCTTGGTGTATTCGGGGCAAACATCGTCATCGCAGGCGTAGAGGATATCCTCGTACATAAGGGTAGCACCAGGGGCGACCTGTCTGAAGAAGGAAACCTTGACAGGCTCGCCAATCTTGACCTTCTGGCCCTTTTGCACGAAAATCTGCCTGGTGAACTTGCAACGGTCCTTGCCGTCGAGGGACGGCACGCGGTAGGCCTCGGGGTGGTAACCCTCCTTGAAGGGCTGGAGAGTGGCCATGAGATAGTGACGACGAGCAACACGGTGGGTGACGACGCGCTCCGTGATACCGGCAGTAACGGCACCCTTGACAATAGCAGCGACGGAGTCCATGGGACGCACCACCTTGGACTGGAATTGAGGAGGAACGTGGAGCTTGATCTGCTGGAAGAGGTACTCGGAGGCACCGAAACCTCCAACAACCAAAATGTTCTGCAGAGTGCGGTTCTGAGCCTGGATAGCAATGATCTGGTTTCTGACGAGTTCCAGAATGCGGTTTACGACAGGCTCGAAGCACTGCAGAATCTCCTCGTTTGTGAAGGTCATGTAACCTTCCTCAATACCAGCCTCGGGGAATTCGGCCTCGATACCGACATCCACAGCCCACTTCTGACCGTTATTACGGAAGTCGGCCTTGATGCGGTTCTCGAAATCCATGATGCACTTGGCGTACACACGGCCGGCCGTCTTGGATCCGTCGGGCAGCTTCATCTTACGGATCTTGGTGCGCAGAATGTTGCTGAAGTTACGGTTGAGCGCTGTTGAACCGCAAGAGTCACCAGATCCAGCCGTGCACTCGGCCACCGTAAAGGGGTTCTCATCCTCGACTTCGTAGGCAATCAAATCGACTGTACCACCGCCGCAATCGACAATCAGGACGGCGTCGTGAACCTTCAAGTTAAGAAGGCCAGTCTTGGAGCAGAAGATTGCCGCCGCCTCGGGCTCGGAAACCAGGGTCAGGCGGTTGTCGTTCTCGTCTCGGAGGAAACCGGCCTGAATAGCAGCGGCTCTGGTGGCGGCCTTGCCAGCATCGTTCCAAATAGCAGGCACTGTCAGGTAGTACCGAATGTTTCTCTCCTCACGGTTAAACACTTCACCCAACGTCTTCTGCAGCGCCGAGCGCATGGCCTGGCGGAGCTTGAAGAGGTAGTCGGCCGCAACATCGATTTCGGACTTGCCAGGAGGCAGAGGAGGCAGGTTGATGGGGTCGATATATGTGTTGCCGGAAAGCATCAGCTGCAGCTTGAACCACTCCACCTTTTGCACACCGGGTTTCGGGTACCCAGTAGGCGCGAGGGCATCCGCAATATCGGGACCCCATCCGACAACCTTCTGGTACTGATCGTAGTAGAGGACCGTGGGAATCTAGGTCGAGTTTTGTCAGCTGCGATTGACCGCACCAATTCAGTGCCTCCTTGATCGAACCTTTTGCTTTGTGTATGATCCGGCGCCGGGCCATTCCGTAATAATATCCTCCTTAGCCTCGTTGTTCGTGGCGAAAGCGAAAGCCACACCGGAAAACGTTGTACCCTGGCAGTCATGTCAGCAAGCCCGGTCACCCCCGCACTTCTCTCCTGTGTCCACGTACGAAATCGATACCGACTATCAGCTGAGCCTTGCTCCTGCTGTTGCCCTCAACCTCGGCCGCGCTGCCGCCTCTCTGATATTGCGCCATAGGGCCTCCGGGAGGGCCAGGAGGACCCGGGGGAGGGTAGCCACCGCCGCCACCGCCGTACTGAGGAGGACCACCCATGGGATGTCCTGGGCCGCCGACAGGAGGGAGCTGAGGGGGGTATCCGGCGACCGGAGCGCCGGTGTTGATGGGAGGGGGACCGCCGACCATTTGGCTAGGCGGGGTTCTCGTCGGGCCTTGGTTCGTCAACGGGCTTGTGCGGCCGATGGGAGGAGGGCCGCCTTGAGGGTAGTTTGCCGAATAACTCGGTGGTCGGTTCCCGGCGCCTGGGTGATTCATAGGAGCGATAGAGGCGGAAGAGGTCGAGGCGATCGAGCCAGGACGAACGGGGATCTGCTGCGGTATTTGAGGGGCGCCGGACGGGTGGCCTTGGGGAGGAGGGGTCGGGCTTGGGGTCTGGTTCGGGTCTGGCGTCTGGATGCTGGCAGTTGACTTGCGTTTACCGAAACCAAAGCCTTTCAGGCGGGAATTGGAAAAGCTCATAAGGGAAGTGGTATGGAGGAGGGAAGAAGAGGAGGGAAGAGGGGAGAGGAAAAGGGACTCGGGCCTCAGGTGGGCAGGACAAGCAGAGGGTATATCGATTCGGTTTGGGTTGCAGCCGTGTGGTGGTGGTCTCGCCGGGCTGGTCCTGGGCGCAGGCTTGTGCTTTAGACCTTGGGCTTAGGACTCCTCCAGAGGTGGGCGCTGCTGCTGCTGCCGCCGGTGCTTGTGCTGTGCTGTGCTTTTGCTTCTGGGGACAGGACAGGACAGGACAGGACAGGACAGGACAGGACAGGATGGGCAGGACAAGACAAGTAAGGTAAGGATGGGATGGAGCAGGCAGTAGGCTGGGGGGAGGGGGTGGTGGTCAAGTCGCAGTCAAGTCACGGCGCGCCGTGTGGACGGATAGTGAGAGACGGGAAACAGACGGGAGTCGGGAGCGAGAGTCAGGCAGTGGGTGAAAGCCAGGACGACGGACGGGCCTCTGTAGGTAGCTCAGGACTTGTCCTTCTCTCTTCCTTTCCGTCTGTCACTTTGTTTCTGTCTCTCTCTGTCTCTCTCCCAGGTGGTGGTAGTCTGCAATTCCGGACTCTCTGCACTAGGCACACACAGGTTGGCGGGCTGTGACGGTATGGTTCTGGGGGCTGTTTGACAGGACTGATCGGATGGACCAGACGAGAACGTGTGGGAAAGAGTGAGGAGTGAGAAAATAGAATGTGCACTGGGCCGGGCTGGACTGGATTGGACTGGTGGGCTGGGAATTGGGAATGGGTGACCCGTGGTGAGCAAGCAGCAGCGTGAGGAGTGCGAGGTGGACGCAACGCAACGCAACGCAGACGCAGCGACGGAACGAGGATGGGGGGTGGAGGGGGTGGGCCGTATTCGTGGGCCGTGTGCTGCTTTTTTTCTCTCGCTTCCCTGGCGGGGGGAAGGAGCGAGGGGGAGCGACGAGGGCGTGGGCTGTGGAAGGGAAGCCGAAGTAAGTGTGGCACCGTAAGGCCAAGGCAAGGCAAGGCAAGGAAGGTGGACGACGTGGGCCGGCGCTTGTTGCTTTCGCTTTTGTGAATGAGATTCTGCTCCGTTTCTGGGGATGATGCAGGTGGTGTAGAGAGCGGTGCAACAGACAGCGAACGACTTCAATGGAGCCGTATTGTCCAAGAAGAATGTACCCAGGTAGTTGTATGAAGTGCGTGCAAGAGAATTGACTGACGGTGGACGGCGGACGGTGGTACGAAGAGGTCGAGTAGGTACCTAACGAATAGCGAAAGCAGAAGGCGGGATGGGACGACCGGGATGTGTTTTGGTTTGGGAGAGGTGGAGGAGGCAAAGCGAGGTTACTGGACGGAGGAATACCTCTGCGCGTATTCAACCTCTTTGCAACGAGGTGGACGGAATACCTAGCGTTTGTTGCCGTAAATAACTGCAGAGTAAATATTATGCACAAGACGTGATGGTGGTTCCCGACAACGGACAAGATTGCCGCTGGGGATCGAGGATCGGGCTGGAGGAGGATGCTGACGATGATGATGATGATGATGTTACCGTTGGCCGTCGCTGCTTGCTGGTGTTGGTGTTGGTGAGGCACCTTCTCAGTACCCAGGTATGTTTGTACCTCAATTCATAGTGGAGAGGGAGAGGCAATACGAGGTTCTGGAGCGAGTATTGGGGACCGTCAACTCGGATAAACGGACAGAACACTGTGAAATCAAGACTGAGGAATCTCTTGCATTGTTTCTCGAGCTGTTTTACCTCTGCCTGCCCTGCTTGCCTCTACTTCTTGCTTCCCGTGCTTCGTTTCTGTGTCCCGTCGTGTTTTGCAGCGTGAGCGCTGTGCTCTCTGCTGCCGGTGCACCTCCAGCTGCTGGAGTCGTCCATGGTGCTGAGCTGCCCTGTGCTCCCTCAGTGTCCGCGATAGGTGGCGGGGTGGGGTAGCTGTAGGACACCGCAAGTATCTCACCGCATGCTTCTGCAGGGACTCTACCTTGCCTGAGGTGCCTACCTACATCCCACCTCCCGCCTGGCCTGGTAGGTAGGGTGGCTGGACTGGCGCCAGCAGCTGACGGCACTAAAACGAGCCAGCGGGTGCGCCTGGTGGAGGAACCACTCCCACGACTTACCCCGGCTCGTTTCTGGGCAGTGTAAGGCTGAGCGACGCCGCCGCCGCCTGCCACTGGATTGGGCTCGCGACAATTAAAACTGGCCTTCTGGCTGCAGCCTGCAGCGTGAGAGTCCCGTCTTTGGGTACCTACCACCAAACGCAAGGTACGTACGTTGGATGGGCGGTGCCGGTGCTGGTGGGAAAAGCTGTATGTACGCGTGAGGTACTTACTTCCCTTCTCACCTTGGTCGTCAGCAAGCAGCGTTCGTACGTTCGTAGGACTCTTGTCACTGACCTGCGCCGAGCAGTCGACAGCTTCCACGCCGGATTACACCCAGGACTTGAGCGGTCAGACAGCAGCGTTGGTTTCGTCCTGTCTCTATCGCCGTTGTCCTGTCAGTGAACCTGCTGCGTCCCTCTATCTACACCAGACACCTGTCTTGAGACTGCGTCTTTGGTGCCTGTATCAGACGCGGCAGACATTGGACGGCGTCTGTGGTGGGGGAGGGACGGCTTTCCTGTACCGCCCAATACGGCGCCGACTTGGCGACGGGCCGAGCAAAGCATCTGAGTCGTAGTAATCGTCTCATCTCGCTTTCCCGAGAAGTTGAAAGAAGTTTACCAAGTACCGAATGGGCAGACAGGAACTCTCTCCCCGCCGGGGAGGCTTAGAGTTGTCGTTGATGACATTCAGGAACAAGACAATTTCGATGCCTAGAAACTCAACCTTGTCCTCTCGTCGGACATGTCTGACAGCTGACAGAGTGCAACGACGGCAGAAAAGAAGGACAGGGACGCGGAGATCCTGCTGCGACTCTCGTGGAGACGACACACGGGGTTCCCGGGACGCTGGATGCGCCCTTTTGTCAGCAACCAGCTTAAGGTTGAGTTAAGGATTTCAGGGCAGGGAATTGTGTTGTCCATCCCGCGAAGATGCGGCAGACCCTTGTTTATCAGCGTGCTGTGGCAGCCTTCCTCCTCACTTTCCGTATCCTATTCAAGACACCTCGCGGAATCTCAGCAGCGGCTGCGGTTCTGCCGACAAACTACTGCAAGCCCTCGGCTGTCTGAACTGGCTTGTTGGCCAAGACGGCCATGTACGCATCATTGCGCAGCAACAGGAAGAATACGGCCACAATTGACGCCCAACGCGACCTTGCTATGCAGGTTGCGAAAGATTCATGATTCTGACCATCATTCCATTAGCAAAGAATTAAGCATCCGTCTCGTGGGACCCCGTCTTGGTTTCGTCTATCCCGGCCGCGAGCCGAGTTGCGATGCCAGCCCGCCGGACCCTTGACGGCCAAAGTATCTTTGCATGCTGGACCTGCTGTGGAATACGCGCGACAGAAACAGACCTAGCGTGGCTCGGCACGGTCTCACAGGTTCTGTGTGGCCCTGGGATGCAGGACTTTCCGTAGGACTTTTCCTTCCTGGTTGTACCGCTGAAGTACCTCTTTTCAGGATTCCATGAGGAAGAAACCCACCACATGCAGTCTACCGCCGCCACCAGCAACATCAGGCTTCCCGACTCCTTCAGCTTGAAGCAGCCGTGAAAGTCAATCATGGAATCCCTCATGAATAGGGCGGTCACTGGTCCACCCTTCTTTCTCTCCCTCGAGTGTTTGATCAAAATCGTGGCACAATCGCCGTCTCCTTTCGGTCGACAGGGCGAACCGGTCCTTTGTCCTGGGATTTGGGCTTCGGCAGGGGGTGGTGCAGTTGGCTTGTTGGGTGGTGTACCTTTTTTTCCCTTATCTTTATTTTTTCTTAAACGCCGTATTCCATCCAGCCATCTCCTTCAATTTCTTCGTTGATTCGTGCTTACCCCGCCAGATTAGGTTCGAATCACAATGAGCACTGGCGTGAGCCCCTCTTTCCCCATGTGTTTCTTATGTAATATTTGCTCGGGACGGCAGGCAGGGACCTGCCAAAATGTGCGACTTCCTCGGCGACAACTTCCGAGCCACAGAAATCTCTTCGAGCCGTCGTTCGAAGATGCCGTCTCGTCCGCTCCCAACAACATTCTGACTTGAGAAGAAAGGCATTCACACACAGCAGCTGGGGAGATCACACCCGGACTGGGAGTCCTGTAATTCAATTGTTCCACAGAATGCTGATGCGCATCTCCCAGCTGCCTTAGCAAAGTGGGGCAAAGGATTCGGTCATGTCATCCAACCTCCAGGCCTTGCATCCCTCGCCAACAAGCAATAAACCAACAAAAAACTCAAGCTATTCTTTCTGAGATTTCCAGGTCGGCAATGCAAAAGGAAGACGCCGGCTGCAGTCGCCAATGGCCACCACTCGCTGATTAGTCGAGTGTCGAGAGTGTCCAGTCCATCTACAAGCTGTTTGATATTCCGCAGAGAAAGCCTCGCCGATGTCTATGTTGGCTTCGTTCTGCCAATGCCAATCGCCAAACCGGCCTGGCGTACCTGCCCAAGGATCAGAAACAGCGAAACATCATTGACGCAGGCTTCCCGCCGCCTGCCAAAGGACGGTGGACAATACAATCCCGTTCCACACTGGCAACCCAGGCGCGGTGAGGCGTAGCACAAAAGCCATGCTGAGCCCCGGAGACATCTGATAGGCTCGACAGGGGAGCCCTTACTGCCTTCGTCTCTCTGATCGGCCTCCGCAGCTCAGCCGCACTGTTTTTGGGTTCACTCCAGCGTCCCCGTACCCGTCCAGTCTCCGTCCCCCGACCGGTCGGAATCCTGCCAGTCTATCAGCCAGCCCGCTTCGCTCCTCCTCTCATTCGCGAGCTCGCTTGTGGCTCTTGTCAGCGCCAAAGCCTGAGTTTTTCGGTTCGAGGCTTCCCGCTTTCCAAGACATCCCGCCGCCCCGGAGCGGTGTTGTCCCGTCAATACCCCCGGGAACATGCCGGCCGTTTTGCAGTACCGAC